TATGGCTTGATTCTTTCATATTCAGTTTCTTGATTTATATGCCCACAGTGCCTTGGGGTCACATTTCCATTTGAATGATTTGTAGAAATGTCCTGACTTCTGCCTAACATACACTCACAATTGGCACCAATCTTGTAAGAAGCAACAGCACAGAAAGCCTACAGTTAAGATACATTTCAAAATTATTCACAGTACATTGCCAGGTTTCACATATTTTGGAAACAGGATGCTTGATTAGAAGGAAAATATATCCCCTTCTACAAATGAGAAAAACAGCTCCAGACATCAAGAGAGCATTCAACTTATAATTATGAAAAACTTATCTGTGAAAAATCAGAATCAGCAGTTCAACAGTGTTTCATGAGTAGAATACTATGTAAAATTTGCAAAATAAGTATAACTGGGAATCAAAATATCAAAAGGTCCTCTGTCACTAAAAATAGCCTTGTAGAACATTGTTTTTAAAACTCAGCTCACTCATATTCATTGAAATCATTCTCTCACTAGGAAAAAGAAAGGATGTATGAGATCCGAATTATCCTATAGAATCTCTGTGGTTCCTTATAGCTGACAAAACTCAAAATGTCCAGACTCTTAGCTCTAAATTAATTCTAAGCAAAACATATCCAAATAAGCCATTGATATAATGAGCTACACTAAAGACAATAAACAACATCGGTCATTGCGTCCTGTTGTGAATCCACAGTGTACCTCACCAGCCTGGTGTCTTTTGATAGCAAGTGTGGTATAGTGGATAGAGTGTTGGACTAGGACTCAGGTGACGTGCATTCAAATTCTCACTCACTGGGAGGTGGACCTGGTAAAAATCCTTTTTACATATTTCATGCACCTTGAAAATCCTGTTTGGGTTGGCATAAGTCAGACGCAACTTGATAGCCCTTAGTTAACTAGCCTTGTGTCTACCAGCTGAGTTGTATCACAGTAGCCATGTGAATCTTTCAACCTCCAGCTCTCAGGAAGCAACTGAGGAGAAAAAAACATATTCTTTTCTCCTCAGAAAAATCTTTCTATGTGAGATTTGTGGAGGATCTCCTGAAGGTTTTGTGATCATTCCCCACCCCACCCCGCGCACTCTGTACGTTGGACAAGCTCCTGCATTCCAGGGGGCTGAGCATGATGAAACTTGGAAAATTGCTGAAAACAATAAATGCTACAAGGACTTGTTGCACCTCTGTAGTACAACTCCCAGAATCCTTCAGCCAGCTTTGCAGACAGATGGGTTTGAAGAGTTGTAAGCCAGCTTATCAAAGGCATCTGTTTGGAGAAATTGTGTCTGTTTGGATGAGAAGCTGACCAAAATATGGATTGTGTTATTACAGCTTTTAAAATAAGATTTATTTCTTTATTTTATTTATTTAATTTTTATGCCGCCCACACTACCCAAAGGTTTCTGGGCGGCTTACAACAATTAAAATACAATACAATTTAGAACAATTAAAATACAATTAAAAATATATAAAATTGCCATCAGACCCACAGCTAATATTATTTCAATTAAAAGTCTTCTAGAACAGCAAATGTCATCAGCGTCGGCGCCAGACGAATCTCAGTCGGGAGGGCATTCCACAGTCTGGGGGCAGCTGCCGAAAAGGCCCTTTGTCTACAAGCCATCCCTCTTACCTCCTTAAGGGACGGCTCTTTCAAAAGGGCCCCCTGGCTAGATCTTAACTGCCGAGTAGGTTCATATGGAAGGAGGAGTTCCTTCAGGTATCCAGGGCCCAACCCAAGACTGTATGATTTAAATAAATATTTAAAAGAAATACCAGGGAAAGCCTCCAAGGAGATGGGTCTAGAATGTGCTGCCAATCTGAAATGGAGGGCCTTATCTGATTCCCAGCAAATGCTGCTCTTCAGTGGCTCACTGCTCAAAGAGGACTCCTCTAAATTTCTAAAGTTATTGGAGGGCTGAACTGACCCAGGAAATTTTCACGGATGCTGTACTTGTCTAATTTATAAATTCCTAAAAGCCTTTCTTTCCATAGCAGGTTTTTTTTTGGGGGGGGGGGGATGGTATGAGTTCCAAGTTGTAATACTTTGCTTTCAGGGAAGCATTATTATAGTAGCCATCTTGCTACATACATTAGACATACATTAGGTGTTTTTTGTTTTGGTTTTTTGTTTTGGCTTAGTCAGAATTTTTGTTTTATGATGCTTTGTAATTCTTGCATTCATTCTCAATGAAGTGAAATAAGCACACAGTAATTATTAAAGTCAATCACTCCTTGAACATCCCACATACCTCAAAACACCTGTTAGGGTCATCATAAATCTGAAGTGACTTGGCACAACAATCAAAGAAACAAAAATTTCTTTTTTTGTTGTAGGTTTTTCAGGTTGTTTGTCCATGTTCTGAAGGCTTTTCTTCCTAACTTTTTGCCAGTCTCTGTGGCTGGCATCTTCAGAGGACAGGAGTTAGAACTTTGTCTGTGTTCTGGTGTAGTCTGTGGGATAGTTGAGTATTTATAGCTGTGGGATCAGCTTTTTGTCATTTTCATGAGATTGGGTGATCAGGGTGTTTTTCTTATGTGTGTATTGTTGTGATAAGGGGCTCCCAATCTTAAGTATTCTGGAGATGCCGGCCACAGAGACTGGTGAAATGTTAGGGGGGGAAAAACCTTCAGAACATGACCAAACAGCCTGAAAAACGTATAACAACCATCGGATCCTGGCCGTGAAAGTCTTCGAGAATACAACAGTTTCTTTCTTTCTTTCTTTTTGAAAAATGAATAAATCCACATACTGATATTTACTACACTAGAAACCTGTATAGCTAAAGCAAAACTAAGTATACAAAAGTGTCTGGGGAAAAAACATTATTAGGGGACTCCACATTGACTTACCTAGAAGATGCTAGGGCTCACTGAGTGGGATTCTGAAATGATTGCTGGAGGTCTCATTTGTTCACTCTAATTATTAATGGAATGGAGCTCAAAGCCATATGTTTGCTCTTTGAATATGAGAGCAAACATTTGTGAGTGCCTATCAGTTTTACCGACCATCAAAATAAGAAGGGTTTCTACATTCCTTAAGAAGGCTTCCTAGGTAGAAATACTGTATAAAACCCTGCATGTTGAAAGGATTTTTTTTAACAGCCTGATCTGCACCTGTGAGTCTCTAGAGCCAAAATCATCTAATAAAAATGCACATGCAAGGGGCTTTCACATTTTGCTAGCTGCCTGTTCTACGGCCATGGTCATGCTGGGATGGACAATGGATGGACAGCAACACTTACATAATTGCTGGTTTACAAATCTAACAGAAATGTAACCCTGGATGTTTAAAAAACGTAGGAGAAAAGTGAGCAAGTTACAGAACTGGAGAAAGGAAGAAGAAGAGGAAGGATTTATCTCCTCTGACTGCTAATGGCTTTTATTTATTTATTTATTTATTTATTTATTTATTTGCCGCCCATCTAGACATGGTCTACTCTACATGGTCTACATACTCTATAGTATGTATCTTGGAAGATGAATTAGGGTTGAGATGTGTACATTCTGAGGCTAAGAGAATTTCTCCTCCTTGTTTTTCTCGGGGATGTTTCCAGGAGAGGACAATGAGGATGAACAACTCTTTTGCATTATTTTGGGCTATCCCACCCCCACCCCACAGTACAGTTATAAATTGCTTGTGTTTGGACCTGGCAGACCTACCCCCAACTGAAACACAGTAGGAGCATTGCCACTTCTGTACAGGAAGTGCAGAGGAGGGTAGGAAGTTGCATCATACCAAACCAGACTGTTGCCTGTGCAGCCTAGTATCTTTTATATGATCAACAGCAGCTCTCCAGGGTCTCATTTCATGTTGTCTACTACCTAATCCATTTATAACTGCACTGGAGAGCATGAAAATAAAATTTCCCCTCCCATGCATCCCTCAACAGAGATACCTCCAAATCCATAGTTTGAAACACATTGCACAGTGCAGGAGTGAATAGCATGGGGACAATAAATCTCACCATCCTTCACCACTAGCCACTCTGGGTATGGTTGATAGGAACTGCAGCAGAAAAGCATCTGAAAGGTTGCAAGTTACTAGCCAGGTTTAGTGCCAGGAAGGGAGCAGAGAAGGGTCTAAAATTTTTCCTGAAGAATTGACAGTTTCTCTTTCTGTTTATATAAGATCATAAGAACCCTGCTGGATCAGGCCAAGGGCCCAACTAGTCCAGCTTCCTGTATCTCATAGTGGCCCCACCAGATGCCTCGGGGAGCACACGAGACAATTAGATACCTGTTGTATCTTCTTTAGAATAAAAAGCCCCAAACGCTGTAGCCTTTCCTCATAAGGGAGGTGCCCCAGCCCAGTCATCATTTTATTCACTTTCTTCTGCACCTTTTCCAGTTCCACCAAGGCTTTTTTGAGATGCAGCAACCAGAACCATATGCAATACTCCAGATGTGACCTTACCAGCATTTTGTACAATGGCATTATAATGTTGGCTGTTTTATTTTCAATCCCCTTTTTAAGGACACCTAGCATGGAAATGGCCTTCTTCACTGGCACCGCACACCCTCTCTCCCACGTAAGTAAATCCCACGTAGACATAGAAGTCCAATATTTATGGAGCTTCACTGAGAGATACTTGCCATGAGGTTTAAGACACACGTTTTGCAAAGCAGATGTGGAAGAAACCAGTGCAGGATGCTGCTTATTTTACTGGAAGATAAAAAAATGTCTTAATCAATGTTACTGCGCTTGTCTCTTGTGAGTTCTACAAAGCTACCCAGTATGATTTAACTCCCATTTCCATTCAAGAGTTTGGAAAAGCAGCCTTTCCCTTAAAGCAGTGGTTCTTAACCTTTGTTACTTGGATATTTCTGAACTGCAACTCCCAGAAACCCCAGCCAGCACAGTTGGTGGTGAAGGATTCTGGGAGTTGCAGTCCAAAACTCCCGAGTAACCCAAGGTTAAGAACCAGTGCCTTAAAGTAAATTCTGTCTTATTTCTGGGCAATTAGTTGGAGATTAAAGAGGGGCAACATGTACTTTGGGGAGAACTTTATTCTTTATATGAGTGGTAATTTTATGGTTTTCCAGAAAAAAATATGCTTTTACATGATAAATATAATAAATATTATCAATTTACTACTGATTTAGTATTTGAAGGTATCTTATTGTCTCATTTAAAAATTCAGTCATGTTCCCAGTAGTAGCATGCACACACCTTCCAGCTTCGCTTCTGTTGCCAATAGTAGCAGCAGTCTCATATTCTGTTTGACAAATGGTGGGCTGTGGAATAAAGAAACATGATGTTCTTATACATTTTATAAACAAAGTGCAATAAAGAATGCATTCCACGTTGAAATTCTAATGTCCATTTCTTTATTTGTAGGCTAGTGGAAGTGCAGCAAGGTGATGACAGATGTCTTGGGTTTTAGCTGCAAAAGGAGATAGTTAATTCCTCAGCTTATTTCCTTGAGTAGCTGAAGGTAAATAACTATCTTTCCGCTTTGAGTTCCCATCTGCACTTTGGTGATATTAAAGATTGGAAGTAACATGGTGGAAGTAACAAGTTACAAATACTAATGTTACTTATAGCAGGTACCTTTGGAGTAAAAGGTGACCATTACTGTTATTTTTAAAAGTCATATGATGATCAAGTGTCCAAATCAATTTATCTCTGAATAGTAAATTATATTAGATGTTTAGAAAACTTACTGTGCACTGTCTCTTTATTCTGCCAGTTCTATTTTCAATTGACTGGATAATTGTAGTGCAGCTGTTTGTTCTGGTTAATTTCTGGATGTCTTCAAATCCTTTGTGAAGGCATGACCACTTACACCCAGTCTGATGAGTATAGATATAATATTCACATTAAAACCAGTTGCCTGTCTAGTATATTTATAGCAGGGACTACTAAAAGCACACAAAGTACAACTGCATGTTTTAATGCCAGGATACTTAAGAAGCAAGCAATATCTAGCACAAGTTTTTTAAAAATTAGAAATTGGTTCCATAACACTAGAAATGCATATGTAGTATTTGACACCAGATTTTTGTTACATATTTCATAGCACTGTGTTATTGTTAATATTGTAAATCATGGTTTCTACCATTTTCATTTAACAATTTTTGTGTATGTTTACATAACAGCAGAACAAGCAACACATTGGCTGAAATCCTATTACTTAGCAGAGTAAGTTGCACTAGAGTATGCTCATTAAAACTAATGGGTCTCCATAAGTTCTGACTTTAGTGTAATAAATCACAACTAGAGAAAGTCCATTTGAAGCAAATGATCAATCAACTGCTTCAATGGTCTTATTCTAGTGTGACTTACTATGTTAAGTAACATCTAAACATTTTCAAGAGCAGAGACAGGGTAGATCTGTGAAAAGATCACATGACCAACTGGTGTGCATTGTAGGGAGACAAGATTTTTAAACAGCCCTTTATTTTGGATATCTTGTACCTAGCCATAAAAGCACACATGCAAATTAGAAGCAACATTAGCACTAGTCCATAATCTCTTATGGTATTAATATACCTTCAAGTGCATCTTTAAATTGGACTTCCTTCATGGTCCTTTGGAGAACAGATTCCAAATGTGACCAAAGAGCTCGCAGACTACAGTGGGGTCTTGACTTGAGAACTTAATCCATATTGGAAGGTGGTTCTCAAGTCAAAAAGTCTGTAAGTCAAGTCTCCATTGACCTACAGTGCATTGAAAACCGATTAATCCCGTAACAGGCCGTTTTTGTTCCATTTTGGTTTTTTTTCTGGTCTGTAAGTCAAATCTCAGTCTGCAAGTCAAACCTAAATTTTGCGGCCAGAGAAGTCTGTAACTCAAAAAGTCTGTAAGTCAAGCCGTCTATAAGTCAAGGGTCCACTGTAATCTGTATTAGACAAAGAGTATCCCCCCATCCAGTTTTTCTCATCACCAACAGAGAGGGATCAACAGACACCAGAGAAATCAAGAGTTTTACCCCCATCAGGATCCCAGTTACATGGTGGGCAGAAGGTAGTTTGAGACCTACTAGTAGGTTGTTGAGTGAAATAGATCACTGAGGCTTTCCAACTTTCCAATTTTTTAACAATACTAACAATGAAAGTTCCTCCCTCTCAATTAAGCTTCTAGAATCCCCGATTCATCATAAAATAAATGTAGATTTGTGTATGCAGGTCATCTCGGAGACTCATCTCCAACGGATGCAAAAGAAGTCCTCTAAATTAAAACACAGTTTTTCATCTGTTCAAACATTATTTTGCAGATGGCTCTGCTTAGTGTGCTATGGGGGTTCAGGTGAAAACAAGGCAGGCACCAAACCTAACTTGATCTGTTGTGAAATAATTCTCTCTAATATACCCATGAGCAAATAAGTTGCAAATTGGATGAATTACTACAGCTCATCATTTCCATTAAAAAATAAATTCCAAACCTCCACACTTTGTGCCTAGTCAGTTGGTAGTGATCAAGCAGAGGTCAGTGAAATGTGCTTCCTATTATATTCACTTAGGATGAGGCTACATATGTAAAGAATGCAGCTTTCAATGATTATAAAAAAATGCAAAACTACTTTAATTCTCAATGTGGATCCGCCAGAGCAGAATATAAAATATTATTCTGCAGTTCTGTTTGGACAAGCTAGTCTAATCCTTCTTTACAGAGATTTCCAACCATGTACATCTTACATAGACATCTTTCTTTGATAGTGTGTCTTCTTTGAGCATTCTCAATTCTGCAATGACTTTAGTCATACCATAAATTCTTCTTTGTGGTCTCTGCACACATAATTTTTGCACCTTCTGCCTTTTAATACTGCTGCCTTTTCATGCTGATGTGAGGGAAAAAAGCCATTGGGCTACTATGGTATCCAGAACATTTCTTTGTAGCTTTTGAACTTTGAGTAGAACCCAACCTTGAGCATATTATCAGATTAGATTACTTGTACCCTTTATCGAAATTTCATAGGGGCACTGTCAGTAGTGCTTTGGCACCTTCCACTTTCATGTGGAATGTTCGTAATTTGTTTTAATGATGTGCAAGGAAAAATGATACGTTATCTGTCAACAATATTTTTACTGCATTTTATATTCATATACAAGGTTAAGTTTGGGAATTTTTTAAAAAACTAGTGTTGACCACTTCACGTATCTTAAATGAATCTGGGAATATATTTTCTTCTCTTGGTTAATGTCATTTAACAGAATATGCATAAGTACATTTTCTGTTATCAGGGTGACCATGTTTACTCTTGTATACATATTTAAAATTCAGTGGTAACGTGTTAAGGAGGAAAATGAGCATAAATCAAGCATATCAGCCCTGTAATCCTAAATATATCAACTGTCTCTGACATTCTCCAAATAGATTTCAGCTTTTGCAATGAGCATTCTCTTTATGTCTGGAGCCTCCCAGAATGAGCCTTCCAACTCTCTCAAACAGATTTGGGTAAGGACCAGGGGGAGTCACATAAGCTCCAGTATGGAAGAAAAAAAAATTCAGTCTATCTGTGGTATCCAGTTTTCTGACAGAAGGACTTTTTAAAAAACAAAGTCTGAATATCTTCTTACCCATTTAGTTGGAAGAAAATTTGAATTGGCCTGAAAAAGAAAGAAAGAAAAAACAGGAATAAGCACTGAAAGCCAGTCTAGCTGTTTCAACAGTGTGCATGTAAAAATAAATTTTGAAGAAAAACTAATTCACTTACAAAATTTTCACCCCCGCAGGTTTGTTTTTCATTCTAAGACAATAATATTGGAACAGTGTTACTAACTATGATCGTTGTATACATTGGAAACAATTTTAAAGATAAAAATAATATTATGCTGTATTATATGCATTTTATACTTACAAGTTTAAGTATCATAGTTGTGACTTCCTTAGTGAAGCATTGTCCTTTGACCTGTACTAAGAACAGACAGCAGAAAACTGTGTAAAACAGCATTGTGGAGTCCAAGTGCTACTTCAGTTAATACCAGCAAAATTGCTAGGGAGACTCTTTTAAACAGATTTCTGCAAAATTCCCTTTATCATGGGAGGGGAGGAAAAAGCTGATCATAAAGCTGATTCTAAATGCCCACTGCTTTCATTTCTCCCGGGGTTAGGGTACATTTTAATGCTAGAAAACATAAGAGTTGAGTCATTTGTTTTGTGGCTTTTCTTCGGTTCAGGAAATTCTTAGATTTTTTACCCAAGTGATTAATATCACTGTTACTGAAATAAAGTCATAGTAGCAGCTCCACTGATTGCCGATCCATTTGTAGGCAAAAATCAAAGTGCTGGTTCTAACCTATAAAGCCCTATGGTCCAAGCTATCTCAAGGACCTTGCCTCCCTTTATGAGCCTGCCTGAGGGTTAAGACCATCAGGGGAGGCCTTTCTCTCAGTCCCATGACCTTCACAGGTGTGTTTTATGGAGACACAGGAGAGGGCCTTCTCTGTCGCTGCTCCCAGGCTCTGGAACTTCTTCGTACAGCAGGCCAGACTGGCCCCATCTTTACTGTCCTTCCACAAGCAGTTGAAAACCTTACTCCTTAGGCAAGCTTTCTCTTAATGACTGGCTGCCTAGATGGGCTTTTTAATTGGTTCGTTGTACCTTACTGCTTTCCATGTGTTTTGGGGTGTTGTTTTTATTTTCCATCTTGTTTGATCCTTTTTAGTGCTTGTATACTTTCCATTCTTAGCTTTACATTTTATTTTTTAATAATGTAGGCTGCCTTGGGTCCTTCTTAGGAAGAAAGGCGGGGTAAAATATTTTAAGCAATAATAATAAGTAAAATAACAGGAAATAATCAGTGAATAATCATGGATTTCCCTGGAATACAGGTGAAAAAACTTTTGATTCTACTTGGCAGAACTGCATCCACGAGGATAAATATCTTGGAAACTTGCAAGTGCCATCTTGAAGTCCGTAGCTCAAATCTTTTTCAGTTTATACCAGTGTGAACATCAACGTGAGATTAGTTATCAGTCATGACAAGATGCAAAGTTTTCTCTAAACAATCCACCTAAGAAAACGCCAGGGAAGGTTAGCTGAAAATGAGAAAGTATTCAAATCTTTTTTTAAAAAAGCCCTCTGGTTTATGAATTTGGGGTATTGTGCTTCTGTGCCATGATTCAAAAAGCCAGGAAATGGCCCAATATTGCTGCACAAAATTGCACCCGCACTGCCAGCAGGGAAAAGGATGCCAAGCTTTACATAGCAAAGGGCAACCTGAATGTTGACAACACCAATGGCAGTAGTCAAGATGGTTTATAGGATACTCTCTTCTGCTTATTACTATTCACAAGGTGACACCACGCGAGGGAAAATCTGAGAAGATGAGTCCTTTTTTCATCAGTTAACCACTTCTCACCCAAACACAAAGCAATTGTCAGGGCTGTTTTTCAACAAGCAGTTTTTTTAAAGGTATGCAGATTTGGTCTTTTCAATGTATTTGAACTGTTTCAAATTCGGTGCAGCCCAAACTTGCATGTTTCTGCACAGGGGTAAAACAGTGTTACTTTCTAGGTGCACCTATTACTCGATATTTAGCGGAACGCGTCCTCCCACCCGAATCACTTGTTCTAGCCAGGAAGGGCGGCTGAGGGGCCTAATGCCGAGGGAGGCCTGGAGAGCAAGAATAAGAAACGGGGCCTTCTTGGCAGTAGCTCTTCATCTCTGGAACAGTCTGCCCCTAGAGATCTGTCTGGCTCCCTCTCTGGGTGATTTTAAGAGCAAACGTTAAGACCTGGCTCTTTAAGCAGGCTTTCCCTTCTGTCATCACCTGATACTGTTGGTTTTTATTTTATTATATTGTTTTTGTTTTATCTATTATTGTTAGCTGCCCAGAGTAGACATCGGTCTAGATGGGTGTGGTATAAATTTAAATCAATCAATCAATCAATCAATCAAAATCGTAACTCAAAAACCCTGTGTTCAAACATCCCAAAATTTGGCACAGAACAATAGCAGACTTTCTGCCACACCTGTGCTGATTTTGGTGCTGATCCAAGGTCCAGTTTCATATTTAACATTTTTGTTTTGGGGCTTATGGAATGCTGAATCCTTCTGTCAACACAATATATTGGTGCCTTCCTGGGCACCAGTAATGACACCCTGAAAAAATTAATGATTCTGCTTGATTTCCCATGTTAGCAAAGTGATATTCAAGGTATTGCACAAGACTTTTACCTTCAATGGAAAGAGAAATGCCTGACATTCAAACTGGATTCCAAAAAGGAAGAGGCACTTGAGATCACATTGTAAATGTTCACTGGCTACTGGAGCACGCCGGTGAATTTCAGAAGAAGATCAGTCTATATTTTATAGACTACAACTACAGCAAAGCCGTTGACTGTGTGGATAATGAGAAACTGTTGATTGTTGTGAAAGAAATGGGCATGCCTCAGCACTTGATTGAATAACATAAATTGTGGACAAATGGTTTTCTATAGACAAAGGTGTCAAACAAGGGTGTATTTTATCCTCTTGGAAGGAGAATTTGCCTTCTTCGTACTTATGCCTCTCAGTTGCCATTCCTGTTTTCTATCTACAAAAGCAGCTTTCCTGGGGTTGAACCAGGAATCTGCCTTTATCTCTTAGGTATTTCTTCTCAATGCGAGCGTGTTATTTGCACCCCCTTTAGTATTCGAAACCAGGGTAGAGTCTTAATGGTAATAACATAGTTGAATTCATCAGACCGATAACAATATTGTCTACAAATAGTGTTATTTTAAAGTTTTGTCCCTTAACTGAGAGGGTGCTTAGGTGGTAAAATACCATGAGATTTGCTCTGCTTGTAAAGTGGGTGAATTTGAAGCTCCTGCCCCAGCCCCGTCTGAATGATGGACAAGACTGAATAGAATAGGTCTGGCCTATTTCAAGAAATACCAGCTTTTTTTCTCTGCCCCCTGAGGGCTGGATTCAGTTGTGTTTTTTCCCCTATAGACATTCCCAAGAAGACAGGGATGTGTTTTAGGTGGTGTTTTCATGCTTTGCAGGGCAGTGAGAGTGTGCCTCCCATCATTCCATTCCCCCATTGTCCTCCATGTTTTGTAGTAAGAGATTGCCAAAAAGCAAGTCATGGAGAAACAGAAATTCAATAGGATTAAATTAAATAGAAACTATACTACATTGCTCTTCGCTGTATCAGCAACAAGGCATTGTTTTGATATACTGTATATGTTGTATGTGTTTGTAAGCCGCCTAGAGTGGTCGCAAGACCAGATAGGCGGGATATATAAACAAACAAACAAACAAACCAATCAATCAATCAATCAATCAATCAATCAATCAATCAATCAATCAATCAATCAATCAATCAATCAATCAATCAATCAATCAATCAATATTACTTTATCATTTGATGTCCTCTGCACCGACAAACACACAAAAGCGGGGTGAAATGAAAGATTTTTGGAATGCTTTTGTAACCAAGGAGCTTTGCAGCTCACCATAAAAGGAAAAGAGAGGTGCGTCCAGAGGAAGGAAGGAAATAAGGGGTGGGACCCATAGGATTGTGGGTCACATCACAAACAATATGAATGGGAAACTCACAAATCAATCTGCAGCCCTTGCGTATCCACTTTTTGCGATTTGAAATGTAACGCAGGCTGCAAGTCAAATTGCAGCAAAGCGGAACCCTTTTGATGCAGCTGTGTAGCCATAGCCTAAGACACATTGAATGGTAGTCTAATGTGTCATTAGTTTTGTGTTTCTATTACTGGGTTGGATAATTAGAAGAAGTAAGGAACCAAAATGTTGCAAATTGGAACTAAATACTGACTAAACCTTTACATCCCTCTTCACCAGCATTCCCATCCCCGATGCCCTATCACCTGTAAAAAGGAGAATGGAAGAAGTAAACACCCTCTCCACCAGAAGCAGCCGCAACCCAGACCAGATGTGCCTACTTCTGGACCTGTGTCTGAGCACCACTTACTTCACCTACAGAGGTGACATTTACATGCAGAAACATGGCTGTGCCATGGGTTCCTTGATGTTACCCACTGTTGTCAACTTATACATGGAAGAAGTAGGGGGAAAGGCACTAAACACCTTCCAGGGACGACTCCAACCCATTGGTTCATGTATGTGGATGACATCTGGGTGAAGATCAAGATTTAGGAAGTACAGGTATTCACAGACCACATAATATGGATCCAACTTGAAATATCAAGTTCACCAGGGAAGACACCAAAGACAACTGGCTGGTTTTCCTGGACTGTGCGGTCATCATAGGATCTAATAGCAGCTTAGGAACAGAAATCCACAGAAAACCTCCCACACAGTGATCAATACCTGTGGTTTGACTCTCATCATCCATTGGAAACTAGGGGTTATCAGGACGTTAAACCACAGGGCAAAGAACATCCCCACCTCCACAGAAGCCAAGAAGAAGGAAGGTAGACATCTGAAGAAAACCCTTAAGGCCTGTGTGTATCCAAAATGGGCCTTTAACGAGGCAATGTCCTGATCCAGCAAGACAATGGAACAGTCTGAGACCCAGAACCGACTGAAAAACCTGGTCCTTTCTTACATGGTGGGTGTGTCTGAAAAGCTCAAAAGGATTTTTGGTAAACACCACATACTCATGCACTTCAAATCCGCAAACACACTC